ATTACAGTATGGGTTGAAGAATAGTTCTGTAGCTAAATCAAAACAGTCTGCTAATTAAATAATGTGCATCTTTTAATAACTCATACCTCTTTTTAAAAAGCCCCCTTTTCCACTCCCCATACTTGCAGAAAAATGAATTAATTGTACCTCATTGTGTTTTTTGTCTAGACAATAATACTCCAGTACATTCCAAAAAACTATTTTTAAGGGCTTTCTGAGTGTTCAACTCACAAGATCACACTTCTTACAAAATTGCCTATGTGTGGCGTGGTTTCATGATAAAAATTTTGATTAGTGGCTTTGGTTAGAAAACCTGGACCCAGCAGGTTCCTCTCAGTCTGCAGCGTGCAGGGCTGGAGCCCGCTTACAGCATTGGAGTAGCTTCACATTAAGAGCACTTTTTTCTTCAGTTTTTAGTACTGGGTTTCTGGGGTGAAAGGCTTTCCTCAGTAACTAAAACTACACTCATTTGTATGGGTAAAAATACACCTCATCCGATTTGCCCCTTGGAAGAAGTTTTTCTGTTCACGTAAAACTGTATTAAGTTAAAAACTTCATTTTCCTTTGTAGTAAAAGAGCTTTTGCTTCCAATAAAAACCCATTTTGTTGATCAAATATCAACATTTATGCTTGCTAGACACATTGCAGATAGCTTCATGAGATATTTATTCTTGGTACTTGCAGACTAGAAATGTAAACTAGGTTGTCTTTTTGGTAGGTGGGCTCTACTTGAATGGGAGTGTACATGGGATCACTCTAGGAGGTGGAGGGCATGTTTTGAGCATCCCCGGCCCCAGCCCTGCTGGCTCCAGTTCGCATTCAGAAGGCCCTTCACCATCATGGTGACCCATGGCCTGGGTAACCCTGAAACAGTTAAGCAAACTGGTCATGAAGGAAATAAAAACCATAATTCTGGTTCTGCCCGCCAGTGTGGGACTGACAGTGCATTCTCTTGGGTCAGCCAGATTCTGTTCTTTTTTCTGGTGGGCCCATATGTGACATGAGAACAAATATGACAGTCACTAACATTAAATTATAATGAAGTTAAGTAAAAGCTCCCCCTCTCTCCCCAAAAAGAAGATGGTTTGTCACTTGAGAAATAATCTCTGAAGTTTCTTTTAAAATGTGCTATATTAACTAAGATTAAGAATACTCTTAAAATTAGGCATGCCTGTGTTAGGACACCTTTTAAAACAGTCAAAAGAGAATTTTTGTCTGGCCGTCCTTATTTTGTAACCATATACTCCATGTACATTTTAGCTAGGTTTTATGAAAAGGTGACTGTTAGCCATTAATTTTAGGTTTATAGTTCAAGGGATAGGAACAGTATTTGCCTCTCAAAATATAACAATCTTCTCAGAAGCTAAATAGTGATAGATGCTTTGTTGAAGTAGCCCAAAGGTAGACTCCTCTGGAAAAGTTAATTAATTTATTACCATTCTACAGCTTTAAGAAATCTACATAGTATAATTGGTGGCATTCTTACTGATCTGTTGTTATTGCCAGTTGGCATATGCTAAACCTGATCTAATCCGTTATCTTGGGTTACTGCAGCCTCCAAATGCTTAAATGTTCTCTGAAATGCACATCTGGGCTCCAGGACCTCTGTCTGGTTTCTTATCCTTTGTCAGTATTTTTCGGGGTCTGAGCTGTGGACCATTCCCAGAAGTCACTCAGGGAACTGCTAAGAATCCTGAGCTTCTGGCTATCTCTGCAGATGTGTTTATATCTGTGTATTTTAAGCTAACAGCTACTGGACTTTTCTTTCTATAGAAGCATCTGCTTATCTTCTTTGCCTTCTTCCCCCACAAAACAGTAGGGCATTTATCTCTAAGATGAGCGTGTTGGATTTGGCCACCAGGTTCCGTGTTTCCTTCTTAGCCGCTGGCTAGATTGATTCAATTCACTGGGTGCAAGTTTTGATAAACTGACTTCTACATGACTGGCTCCTGTGATGGTGCTTCTGGCCGCTAGCCAAGAGTGAACCACACAGGACCTTCCCAGTTGTACACAGGGATGTCGAGTTGAATTGTTTTTACCAATTGGGGAGAGGATTTTTGTTTTGTATACCAAGGTGCCATAAGAACTATAGCATCTTTCTGCTGTGGCAGTATAAATTAGTGTAACCACTTTAAAAAACAGTATGGACCTTCCTCAGAATGCTAAAAATTGAACTATCATAAACTCTAGCAATCCCACTTCTGGGTAGAGTTAATTTCACCACAGTGTTTTTTGCAGCACTATTTATAATAGCTAAGATATGGAAGCAGCCTAGGTGCTCACTGATTGATGATTAGATGAAGGAGGTAGCGTGCATATACACACCAGAATACGATTCACGTATTTAAAAAATGAAATTTTGCTATTTGCAGCAAAATGGAAGGAACAGAAAAATTATGAGAAGTGAAATAAGGAGAAAGACAGGTATTGGATGATTTTACCAGTGTAAGGAAACAAAGCAGATGAATAGAGGAAACAAAATAAAAATAGAACAGTAGACATTGGCAAAAGAATTGAGGTTACCAGCGGGAAGAGGATTGGGGGGAAGGGGCGGTGTCAGAGCAAGCTCTAGTGGATGGGCGCAGATTTTTTTTCATTTTTAAAAGAAAGAAAAATAAGTGTAAAGTATACTTCTAAGTTTCCTTGTCCAAAAGAAACTTTTAGTAGAAATTAAGCATTTATAACATAAGGTAAGCTGGTGAGAGGAGGCCTCGGTCTCTCAAGTCACTACCCAGAATGCCACCTAGATCCACAGCTGGCCCCCAGCTGCCATTGTCACCAGAGCTGAAGGACATCCGAGCATCGGGTGACTTGTCACACCTCCTCTAGTCTACTGTCTTGGTAAAATGCCATAATCCATATCTCACTGGCTTTTGATAATTGATGTTTTCTTTGTTCGTGGCCCTAGGACTGAAGGCAGAATACTCTCTCAGAGCCATGTGCTGTGGGAAAAGCGGGTGGTAGTGGCCCCAGCAACCACGTGGCATGCTGCCTGTTCTGCTCACCTGTGTCTGTGGGCAGGTGTGTCTCCCCGCAGGGCATGGGGGTGTCACGTGAGCTAACATGCATGACGCGCTCTGCAGGCCTTGGCAGGCAGGAGACATTCTAAGATGCTTCCATTTCCCTCCAGGGCAAATTCAGATTTCCAAGTCAGAGGAAGATCGCTAGGAGTGTAAAAAGAGTAATCATGAATTTGTCGCAGGGAAAGACTAAATCCTTAAAGAGATGTAAAACCAGGAAAAGGAAGTCAGCTGTCGTTGCCTGGTATCATATCCCCCCTATTTTGTTTTCTGCCAGTTAGTCATTTAAGATGTCATTTTAATAGACTTTACAGAGAAATAAGAAATATTTATGTGACAAATGGGTAGAGCCCGAAGTAATTTTTGTTAGCTGTGAATTCAGGGGACTTACCTATTTTACCCTAAAAGTTTGTCTCCCGGCACCCCAAGGTGGTGCTTTGCCTCTGGGCCACTCATTCTTTCTGGAATCATTTGTGCATTTGTGTGGGTGGGAGATGGGAACTGGGGAACAGAGAAGTTGGGCAAGAATTTAGAGAATTGGTAAAAACTCTTCAAAGTGTTGACTTTTAAGTGCCTGTATAGAGCTGTTAGCATCAAGTTTTAATGACAAATACAAAACAGGAAGCTGTAGTGACCTTATTGCAAAAACCTGGTTTTCAGAGGTTTTTAAAATATATTTTGCTGTGGTTAAAGGATAATGTGTTTAATTGTGAGTATGTTGTGCCCATTTTATCTGTAAGTTAACATGAGTTGCCTGTGAATAGCTGTTGAAATCCACGCGTCTTTGCGCTTTTCTTGTGCCCACGGGATCGCACTGTTCTCTGAGTGTAGAGAGTACGTCTTTCTTCTTGTGCATGGAGAGCTTCATCTTCCTGATGCTTGGTGGGATCTTTGGACGACCCACATTTTTGTTCTCCATCATTTTTGGCTGTCATGTGGCTTTTAATGGTTTCATTAACAAATGGATGAATACGCTTGGTGTGAATGTTAGTGACAGCTTAATGAAAGGGCCAACCTCCCTCTTTTTTCTTCTTTCAAAAATGCCTTTGCTCTTCCACCCAAAACATTTCCTCTCCCCATGTGGTGTTTGCAGACTTGAATCTGTCTTTATTGATTGTATTCATATTCAGACAAAACATGCAATTATGCTTTCATCTGGCCCCGGTAGCGCTTGTGAAGACCTGCTGTTGGGATCACAGTGCTACCTCCATGGAAACAAGCTGCTCCAGTAGCCTGTTGCCGAGTCTCAGTTTCTCAGTTGCTGAGCTTTGACTGGGACAGCTATGCCATCCCACTGCTACATGATGTTTGTTATTTTCCAACAACCTCAGTGTTCATATTTCCATATATTTTGAGTGTATTTATTTGGTGATATTTATTATAACAATTTTCTTTTTTGTGTTTGCCTTTTTTTTAAAGATTTATTTATTATACATACAAGAACTGGGGTACAGGCCAGAGTTGTGGGAGGGGGTGAGAGGATTCACCGAGACAGAGTGGGGAACAGAATAGGCGGACCGACTGAAATACACTGCTCAGGAGAGCAGTGAGCAAGACAGGAGAGGTCTACTCCATGTTGGTCACTTCCCTGGCCGGGGATCGAACTCATGCTGCAGTGGCTGCAGATAGCTTCATAGGTTTTATCTTCACCCCTTGCGCCACCAGGGAAACCCCCTGTATTTGCCTTCTTGTCATGGAAGTATTGTAATTCATCGACCAGGATATTTTTACATTCTGCAATTCTGAATCTCCAGTATTGAAGAAGGAAATTATTCTGCAGCCTGTACAACCAAAGTTATGTAGCAGACTCTGTCACTGTAATGTTTAATGGGGTACTTTAGTTCTTTTAGTTAGGGAGCACACCCCCAAAACACATGAAAGTGGGAGTGAAGTGGGCTTACTTCTGGAATCTAACCAATGGAACTTTGTGAATGATCTATGGAAAACAATGTGATTTTTGTTTTGTCTGTTGTGTTGCAGCTTCCATGAGGCAGTCTCAAGCTGTACCTGCAGATATGCGCCCAGAGATATGGATTGCACAAGAGCTACGGCGTATTGGAGACGAGTTTAATGCCTATTACCCGAGGAGGGTAATGATGTTTTCTTTACCCCCGCTTTATCCTTGCTCCTCTGCCCCCTCCACCATACTATTTGTTTTTAAAAGGTGACTAGTAACGATTCTGTGTTTATTCTAGAAATGGCACGTCTTAACCTATGTGTGACCTACCATTGTTTCTCTTTGCCCACTTTCCTTATGTTGTAACAGCTGAGTTTAAGTGCCGGTAATTAGAGAGAATACAGTATGAGATGGCAAAGGGATTTTACAAGCACAAAGCCTTAAACATCCATTCCAAGAAAGAGGTCATATATGTTCATCAAAATGTCCCCCAGATAAATACTAATGTAATTTTGGGTCTATATGGGGTGTTTCTCCATTCCCTGTAAACAGCTTGGGACAAAGCTAAAGACATTTTAAAATTTCCATCTTTGCTAGCCATAGGGAACGCAGCCACCCTAATGAACACAAGCCCTTGCTATTGACTGGAGAGCAGGGGCAGCGGGAGCTGAGAGCAGCCTCACAGCCCCCCTGCATGCTTGATGTTTGTTGATTGAAATGTGTCAGGAGGCCATCCATTAATAGTCTATAATTAGACTGCCCCATAAGTTTTGAGGTGTGTTGTTGATGAAGAAAAATGTATTTAGTTTTATGTTTTCTCCTGTAGACACAGTATCTTTTTTTTTTTTTTTAAATCACCAATTGGAAACCCTTTCCTCCTAGTTGACTCTTTAAAATGGTTTAGCTCTAGGTGTTAGTCTGTGGTGAGCTTGTGGGACTACTCCCTGTCAGGGTACACAAGCAAGTGTGATGAAATGTAATTTTGGCCTGTTTACATTTTTTTCAGACAACCTGGTGTTTCTGTTGATTTGTCCAAAAGGAAGTTACACATATTTTGTGGAAAATGTCATGGTTGATATCTTTCTTATTTTGTTACTTTTGTATGTTTTCTAAACATTATTGTTTCATTTAAGTACCTCTTAAAGATTTTCTCTAATCTTGGGAGGTCATGCTTATTAGAACACCTTAATATTTCTGCCCTGCTTTAAATATTAGTCTCTTTTTAGTTAGCTATTTGCTAAACAGGTGAATATATGTTACCTGTTAATTACTTTTCATTCATTCTAGTTTTCCCATCTGTATTCGGTGGATCTCAAACCTCTTTTCAACCCACACTGAGACATTTTCACATAATGGAGGGGGTGGAAGCAGGGATGTCCATCTCATCAGTATGGAATCTCTATAAGGGAGTCAGGACTTCTATAAAGCTCATGTTGCCTTCTCTTTACATCTTCTCGTGGAGTGAGCATGTGTGTGTGTTTGATGGAAAGTGTATTCTAGCAGGATTCTGTCATTAAATGGAAAATGGCACATTGGTGGGTGGGCTTAGGGACTTCTTACACTACGGTTAGCTAGTAGGATGCCTGGCGTCCTACACCTGTGTAGACCAGGTGGCAGAACATGATTCCTTCTCAGCCTAGATGTGAAATGGTAATTGTTTTTTGCAAGGTTAATTCTTTGTAATTTGGCCCTGAAGTTACTGTTTCCCCCAATTCCTCTGCCATAGTTTAAGTGATGGTATTTTGTTGTCACAGGGTTTGATTGGACTTGACTGTCTCCTGGTGGACTAAGAGGGAGGCCAATTGAGGAAAGGGCCCCAGTATATTCACGATGTTGGTCTTCATGCCGAGGTGGGAGGACATGGGTCCCTTCAAGATGGTAGGCTTGAACACGTCCTGTCCTGATTGTGGGGGTGTGTCCAGAACCAGCAGGAAAAGATCAGTCACTTCTAATGAGCATAATGACCTCTCCAGGAAAGGCTAGCCAATGAACTGACCAGCAGCAGAATTTACCTCCTTTCCCCATTTTGAAGGGGGTTTGGAGGTGCCCTGGGGCCAGATCTGACTCAGGTGGGACTACCTGAGAGAAGAGGCACTTGGGCGCTGGTGCCTTCTGAGTCTGCCAGTTCTGGATGCTAAGATGAGCCTGTACAACTCCAGTCCCAGGAACTGGGTCAGAGCCTTTGACCACGTGAAGGGTCAGTGATAAGACATTGGGGGGGAAGGGGGGGCACGGGGATTGGTGCATAGCCATGCCATGAATGTCAAAAGAGAGGGCGAGTTCCAGTCATGCTCACGTGAGACACAGGTGCCCAGATGCCTCCATTCCCTGGCCTCTCCACTGGCGGTGAGGTAACAGCATCAAGCAGATTCATATCTGGGCCTCCCCAGTGGCGCAGTGGGTTGAGCGCAGCGCTGTGAGGCTGTCCGGACCCTCTACAGCGTGGGTTCAATTCCCAGCTGGCCAGGAAGATTCCCACATGGCGTGGCAGACCTCGCCTGTGTCACTCCCGCTGCTCCCCTCAGCAGTGTATTTCCGTCCTTCTGCCTGTTCTGCTCCCCGCTCTGTCTCTGGTGAATCCTCTCACCCTCCTGCACCTCTGGCCTGTACCCCAGCTCTTGTATAAAAATAAATAAATCTTTAAAAAGAAAAAAAGCAGATTCATATCCTTCCATTCCCTCTTCTCCCAATGTTTTTTATAAGTTAGTGTTTAAGACTAACATGATGGTCATGTCTGTTTTTCAAATGAGATGCCATCCGTTCTCAATACCTTGGGTAAAATAAATGCAGGTTACTCTTGCTGCAATATTTGCAATATTGTTTAATTATGCACCTTATTTTTTATTTCTTTTTAAAAATGAGCCAATGTGAAAATGCAGCTGCTAATATTTAAAGGCTCTGGCTTTCTAAGTAGGCTGAGCTATTGGGGGCAGGAGTAGGGACAGACTTAATGGTAAAGCCTGATTTTTCTAAATCAAAGACAAATATATTTATATGCTCCAGATTTTATAAATAGCCAGTTGAAAACACCAGACTCTGGAACTCTGGAGAGTGACACAGTGACCCTCAAAGCCAAAGCCACAGATTCCTGTCTTGATAGTTGTTCAATTAAAAATAGCCATTGTCTGCAGTCACCCAGATGGTCCATTGTTGAATATGGGGGGAAATGGGAGGCTGTTTGGGAAAGTAACACGTTCAAATGACCTGCTGTCTCTGGCAGCCTCTTGGTGAGTTGTGCACAGCAAGCCCTGTGATGGATTGTAGCATTTTAAATAATTAGTGTCTTTATTTGCTTAATATATTACAGTGCCTTTGCTGAAGTATTGGTCTCTATTACCTTGCGAAGCCTGACAGGGTATTTTCCCATTTTTCCAGTTAAAGCAATAGAGGAAGTTGTCCTGTAGTTTTCATGTGCTCAGTCCACTTCAGGGCAGTGGGAAGCACATGCATGGAGCGGTGGAGTCTGATCATTGAAGGAGGAGATGAGAGAGGCTCAGGTGAGCACAAAGTCCTGGCACATGTTCCTCGTTCTCTCATGGGGGTGCCGTGGCCCCGAGTTACCCTGCAGGGCAGTGACCATCCCCCTCGCTGAAGGCGTCCTACTATTCCAGGTGGAATGTATTTTCATTCTGTGACTTTTTGTTTTGGAATAATTTCAGACTTAGGTAAAAGTTTCAAGAATGGTACCAAGGACCCTCCTCCTGTCTGACACCTAAGTTCTCTGATGGTACCATTTTGCTACATTTGCTTTAACATTCCCTTACTTGACACCTGTGTACTAGTATTCTCTGAAGCATTTGAGAATGAATTGCTGGCATGATTACTGCTTTACTCTTAAATTCTTCAGTGTGTATTGCCTAAGAATAAGAGCATTCTCTTGTATAACCACAGTGTAATTATCAAAATCAGGAAATTAACACTGTTACAGTACTGTTATATAATCGGTGAGCCTTAGTGAAGTCTTACCAGTTATCCCAGTAGCGTCCTTTATAGAGAAAAAAAATTTTAGGTCCAGGAACCACTCTGGGATCACACAGTAAATTTAGTTGTCTTTTGACTCCATGACACTAGGTCCCTTCCTCGGTCTTTGTCTTTCAAGGCACTGCCATTTAGAAAGGACAGGACGGTAACATATAGATTCTCCCTGAATGTGATGTAAGTTTGCTGTAAGTTTCCTCATGATGAGATTTTCGCATTTTGGGAAGGACTGCCACAGAGGTGACGACGTGTCCCTCCCATGTGTTGCGTTGGGGCCACAGGTGTTGACATGTCTCAGTGTCCAGCTGCAGGCATTAGCAGTGGTCAGTGGTGTCCTCATTATCAAGTTGGTGCTTTTCCTTCTGTAACAGGAGGAAAGTGTGTGTGAAGGAAGAAGAGCTTTCCATTCTCCCCTTTGTGTTTATTCATTTATCATCTTAAATTCATGGGTCCCTGTTTAATTCACTGGGTTAATATGCACTACTCACATTATTGGTTTTGATGGTCAAATTGTCACAGATTCAGCTGCCTCCTGGTGCCTTCTCACCACGTCCTGAAACTCTAAAGTGCCGTGGTAGCGCTGGCACATAGAACATGATGCGGAACAAAACCCAGGGCCCAAGAAGGTGGCTGCGCTTATCAGAGGCATTTGTTGCTGATTGACCTTCACACATCCAGTGTCCTAACCGTCACAGCCCTGGTGTGCACCTCTGAGACGCCAGGGAGTGAGGGCGAGGTCTGTTGATGGACAGTGGGGCGCTCAGGGAGGTGGGGAGCTCAAGGATGTCAGTGGGCTGCAGGCAGGAGCAGCTAAATCTCTGCTTCAAATTTTATGAAGGGGCCAGCAGCTGGCAGGGAGATGAGCAGTGTATGTCATCTATTTCAGTGGCCTGCACCTCAAAACCCCACTAGGGGTGGGGTCATCCACATAAAACAGCCAAGGTTCCCTTTTGTTCTTTAGTATCCTCTGCTGGTTTCTTCCACCACCAGAGACATGTGAGTCCGAGTCCCAGGCTGATCTACTGGAGGCAGCGTTGCAAGTGCAGGCCTTGGTCCCATAGGCATAGGCTGCTGTTTGCTCAAGCTTGGTGTCCACTCGAATAGGATTCCTGGCTGTGGCCTGAGGCTGTAGGGGTGTGCTGGGCCCATTTGTAATACATGAGCTCTTGGGGTAACTAGGTTCAGACCCTAACCAATGTGGGTCACAGTCCTGCC